AATGAAGAACATGTGAGGTAACATGTGGTGCTCTAGATACCCAATAAATGATAGCTATTGTTTCATGTCATTCTGATAAACCCGAAAGACAAAGAAATGTACTCATATCCTTTCTACTTAAAAAAATGTCATAAGGGTCTTATCACATCTTAACTCCTATGCAACAAGCAGGGATTAAGTACTCAATGTGTCAAGTTTCACGATTGGTGTCAAAATATTATAACCTTCAGACGCCTGGCTTGATCTCTGGGTTGTGAATTTGATCTCCACGTTGGGTGTAGAGATTACTTAAAAATAAAATCTTTTGGGGTGCCTGGGTGGCTCAGTCAGTTGGGCGTCCAACTTTGGCTCAGGTCATGATCTCCCAGATTGTAGGTTCAAATCCCATGTCAGGCTCTGTGCTGACAACTTGCAGCCTGGAGCCTGCTTCAGATTCTGTGTCTCCCTTTCTGTCTGCCCTTCCCTTGCTCATACTCTGTCTCTCTCTCTCTTTCAAAAATAAATAAACATTTACAAAATTAAAAAAATATATATTAAAAAATATATTGTAATCTTAAGAATTTGCCTTGGTTAGCAGGCAAGTGTTAAAAAGTTTAAAATAACTCTTGGCTCTTCTAGGTGTAGATTCTTAAAATCAAATTGAGTTTTCACACATATATGTATCTAAAATGAATTAAAAACTTTTCACTTTGAAAAAGTGCCAATATTTCATTTGCACATTCTATTAGCATGGGATTAAGACTTTCCAATTTGTTGGTTTATCCAAAGTTATTGCATATACCCAGAAAAAATTTTACCACTGGATTTTCATGAGCTAATTCATTCTATAAACTTCTTCAAGTGATTCTATTGCTAATGTAGCTTAAATAAGTAGGTGCATTCAAATATTCAAGTTTTTATACCAAATCCAATTGAGATGGCTTTGTGTAAGACACTATTAGACACATTTTTCAAAAATTTACCTTTTAAACAAAGCATAAAGAAGCCATGCCGTCAGCAAATTTATATATTTATTTAGAACTAAATTTCAGGGACGCCTGGGTGGCTCAGTCAGTTAAGCATCCGACTTTGGCTCAGGTCATGATCTCATGGTTCGTGAGTTGGAACCCCACGTTGGGCTCTGCTGACAGCTCAGAGCCTGGAGCCTGCTTCGGATTCTGTGTCTCCCTCTCTCTACTCCTCCCCCACTCATTCTCTCTCTCTCTCTCTCTCTCTCTCTCTCTCTCTCGCTCTCTCTCTCTCTCTCTCTCTTTCAAAAATAAATAAAGCTTAAAAAATTTTTAGAACTAAAATTTCAGAGACCTACTAATTTTCAAAGGTTGGCTGTCTCATTTAATAGCAGAGCAATAGTTTGGGTAGGTAAAATTTACTGCTTATCTTCTAAGCCAAAAGAAATTGGAAAATTCATCCGATAGAGTAAAATGGATACCCACACACGTAATCCTCATTCAAACCTCATTGGTCATCAAAGAAGATGCTGATTTAATCAATAAGAAAGTATTCTGAAGTCTTGGTAAATAAAAATATAGATTAAATTTTTCAGAGATGTGTGAATGAAGAGATAGTAATAAGCACTCACTGTTGATATATACTAAGTTATTTATATGAAAGAATAGCAGTTACAAAATTATGTCAATCTTCTCCACCTGCTTATTTTGTTTCTATTTTGTGAAAAGTTTGGTCATCCTAAAAACTTAAATGTTAACAAAAGAAACAAAGCAAGTCATTTTTTATGTAATAGATGTTCAAATCTTTATATTTTATTTTAAAATACATTTATGAATCAACTTGGCTATTTCTATTTTTAAATCAGTGTTGGTTAACTACTCTATGTTTTTAAATTAGATACTTTAAATCTATGTGATATTTATGGGATATGTGCATTCACAACTTGGTATAATTATTCTTATTAAAATACTATGCTAAATGACGTTTAAATTAATCTATTCAGGAATTACAAGTTACATGACAATTGTTTTGGTTAAGTTTTGTTATAACATTTTAATCAAATATTTAAAGTATAAATATATAATTTATCATTTTTTGTTATTTCACATTTTTAAGGAGGCATATTAACTTTAATATAAGCATTAGTACAAATTTTCATAAATTGTCATCATACTGCCTAAAATTTTATTTCTACCATATTTTTATTCCATTGATTAAGTTTTGCTGTGGATAAATCTTCCTAAATTTGTCATTAAGACTGTGACATTGAAAAAAAAAAAGACAAATGATTTATATCATGATTTATTTTTCATTGCCAATCACCAAGATATTTAGAAAGATACTTATGCACATGTCTGTAAATACTCCATTTTCTAGAGATTCTATCAATAATCATACTGTGATTTTGTTTTTTGTTTTGTTTTTGAGAGTGCCATCTCTCTCTCACACCAACTAGATACTAGTGTAGTAACTGACACATTCTGATAAGTAATTTGGAAAATCTTCTAGCCTAGAAAGAGTTCAGCATTTCAATTCCCAGTAAAGCTAACTTTAGGTCAGACATTGTATGCCATGTAATAACTCATATACTTTTTTTTTAAATTTTTTAAGTTTATTTATTTTCAGAGAGACAGAGACAGCGTGAGTGGGAGAGGGGAAGAGAGAGAGGGAGAAAGAGAGAGAATCCCAAGCAGGCTCCACACAGCCAGCCCAGGGTCCCATGTGGGGCTTGAACTCACAAACTGTGAGATCATGACCTAAGTGGAAATTGAGTCTGATGCTTGACTGACTGAGCCAACCAGGTGACCCTAATGTATATACTTTGAAGTTGAACATGATTATAAATTTACACACATTTTAGGAATGAGTTATTTTATATATATAATCACAATCTTGCAATCGTCTGAAAATGAGTTCAAGTAAACCTGAAAATCTCACCATTAACTTGCTGACTAAAATCTGTTCTATCAGAGATGAAATTTTGAAAAACCTGAGGCATGGTGCTGCTGAATTATATAACCCTATCATTAGGTTCTTGTATTATTTTCTCTGTTCTATTGAACTTTCAGAAGTTACCAAGAACATTCATAACTGTTTCTAATTATGATTGTTAAAGATTTGACTTCAACAAAAGATAATTGTTTAAAGCTAAATCTTTTCCTTTCTCTTTATGGACTTTGATTCTGTTTGGTTTCAAAAATAGAAAATAGGGGCGCCTGGGTGGCGCAGTCGGTTAAGCATCCGACTTCAGCCAGGTCACGATCTCGCGGTCCGTGAGTTCGAGCCCCGCGTCGGGCTCTGGGCTGATGGCTCAGAGCCTGGAGCCTGTTTCCGATGCTGTATCTCCCTCTCTCTCTGCCCCTCGCCCGTTCATGCTCTGTCTCTCTCTGTCCCAAAAATAAATAAACGTTGAAAAAAAAATTAAAAAAAAAAAAAGTAGAAAATAATATTTGTCCCCTTCCTAGCTGTTATATGAAGACTACAAGAAAAATAGTAAAGTCACAAATAGCAATTGTCTATAGAATGAGGCTAGAAGTGGAATCCATATGTAATGCCTCTGTCAGCAAAGACTTGTAGAAGAGGGTTTATAATAAATATTCGCATCTGCTTCTTTGGACACTCTAATCCATCCTAAGGATCTTTGCTGTGTCAGGCTTTGTTCTAGATGAAGTAGCCCAGTAGTTATAAAGGTTTGCAAATAGGCCATATTTATCATGGTTAGCTTTACTTTTATAACTTTTCTCTGTTTTTGAAATAATCATGACAATTTGGAATATAATTTGTGATTAAATATTTTACTGTGACTTTTACAACAATATCATTAAAAAATTTTTACTGTGAAACAAAAATTTTATTTTCACAATATATCACCTACTTACAATCTGTCAAGAAAGCATCATTGATAATAATACTATGCTGGATGTGGAAAACACAATGACTAAAATCCCAGGCTATGGATTCAAAGTGATTAAATGATAGCTCTCTCCATACGTACCGTGTTCTCTTGAGCAAGTCACTTTGCCTTTCCAAACCTCTCTTTGTTCATCATATAATGAAGTTAATATTTTCTTCATCATTAGATTCTTGTAAGGATTATATGAAGTTATTCATATACTAGGTACTAAATCTAGTATCTAACATGTTGAGAGTTTAATTAATTTTAAATGTTATTACTGGAATAATAATATGCCTTCTAAGTATGATTAGATAATCCCACAGATAGTACTAATACTATGCTTATCTACCCCACATACTGACTTTATATAAACTTATTCTATTATTTTTACTTACCTCTAAACTTCCTGATAGTTTGCTACTACTTTAATAAAAGTATTAGCATTGGACTGCTGATGTGTTTTTCACTTGAAGGAAATTATTCACTAAAAATTATACAGTATAAAAATTATGAGAATACTCTGTGCTATATTTAGCTCTTATGCAATATAAATTTAGTTTAACATAATTTTGAATGTTAAATTAGAGTAAAAAAACCTAAGTCATCCTTTAAATGAGAGTATCTATTTTCACTCCAACTCCAAAAGAAAGTTCATAAGTGTCAAAGTTTTTAAAGCATAAATGTATATTATAATTAAGTAAAGATTTAGCATAATTATAACAAGTTAAAGTGTAATGCAAAGTTGAAAATGTAAATTATCCATTATATAGGGACATAGATTTTGAACCTATGCTTTTGGACATTTTTTCGCAAATAATTGACTTGAAAAATAAACCTGCATTGCTCAGTTGATTTCATCCTCATCTTCTCAAAATTCTTTACTAATTCCCAATATAAAGAGAGTAGCAGGGCATTTGATGACCTCTGCATATAAAGGAGGTAGAGCATTATGTTTTACTTCCTTATTTTAAACTTTTTATAATCTAACCATTGGCATGTCTTCATTTTGACTGGAATTATTTCCTACACAGATGAGAGCTCATATTTAATGACTGACATCTAACATGAGTGTTGAATTACAACTGAAACTATTTCCATTCCTTATAAACTATGACTGCTTGAAATTAAACTTTGATATTCTCTCTTTCTCTCTCAGGTCGAGTTTTAGCTCAGGCGAGTGGCAATGGGGTTATCCATTTGCTGGATCTTAAATCAGGGCAGATTCACAAATTGATGGGCCACGAGAGTGAGGCTCACACAGTCGTGTTTTCTCATGACGGAGAGTATTTGTTTTCCGGAGGTTCTGACGGCACCGTTCGAACGTGGTCTTGATGGTCAGCATATCCCACTACAGAGGGCATTCCCTTTAAGGCTTGAAAATACCTTGCGTAGTACCAGATCAGGAAATATCTGGTTAAATATGCAAGCAGGTAACATTTACAATTTGCCTGCAAACATGCTTTGGACATGTATTTTAGTGCTCGTACTGTTACCAATAAAAAAATAACTTTTGCTCATTTATTTGTGTCTGGGTCTCTTTTTCTTTCCCATTTTGATAAGAATTTAGAGACAGAGCATCTTTGCTAGGGGTTTGAAAGAAACAGCTTTACAATGACGCCTAATGACAGACTAGATGAATTACAAGAGATTGATTTTGAATGTTAGAGAACAAACTGCAGAACAGGGCTACTTTTTTTTTTTTTTTTTAAATCAAATCCAAGCTGCAGGAAGACCTGAAGTTTAATCATGTAGCATACGCAAAGTCCTTCTGCAACCAAAGGGTCAAATAGAATCGGGGAGCATATGTTTTCACAGATTCTTTGACAATGATTATGCCTTATCTATTAATAATAATCAAGACTGCAGATGGCTTAAATCTAAATTCAACGCTTTTCCGGAACTTTCATCTCTGCAGCCTATCTAAGAATGCATTAGGTATAATTACAATGTTTGTGTTTTTATTGTAATTTCAATACCAGTAAGTATCTCGTATGTAAAAGGGCTTTCCCTTTCCTAATGCATGCATCAGCTGTATAAAGTGGGACTGCTTTAGAGAACACTCTAGCCTGGTCTAAAGCAGCAGCTCCGGATTCCGACCGTGCTGGGCTCTGAAGCCAGTTGTTGGCGCTGTCCGTGGTGCTGAGGAATTCCCGGCTGCCGGCGAATGAGCTCCAAATCAGCAGTCTGCAAACTGCTCTCAGTGATGCAGAAACCCAGCTAAAGTTGCTCCTTTCTTTCACGTCCACAGTTAGTATTTCCTGGTGTGTAAGAGGGGATTCAAGAAACATATTGTGGATGATGCTGATGGTACTGCCAGCGGAGTGGGCTTTAAGCTACAGCATGCTATTGCTGTTTGTGATCCTCAGAGCCTAGCCAAATCACCTCTACTGCCGTACCAAACACTGTGTAAGTGAACTCATGTGTGGAGGAGGTGTAATCAGCCGGTAAATTTCATAGAAGGATCTGAGAAAATGCTAAATATAAGTTCAACATGATTCTGCTACTGGGGTCTGGATTTCTACGGGACCAGAATTGCTTCTTGCTTTGAATTCTGAAGACAGGTCCAAAGCATCTTTCTTATGTGTGTCTGCTGTGTTTCTCTCTGGAAGGGCGGGAGACTGCTTCTTGACTGTGTTTTGAAATGGGAGGTAGAGAGAATGGATTACCTTTAATTCATGCCTGAAAATGTATTCTTTGGATAACTAAAGAGGAACTGCTTTCCTAAAACATACCTGATCTTTTAGTTCATGTTGGTCTATGACTCCCACCACCACCATTAACCTCCAGAGTGATTAGGTAAGTGTATCTTATAACATGAGTTATGTTTGTTTTCTCAAAGAAATAAATGCAGTCATTTAAAATCATATGTAGCAATATGGGGAGGGGGGAAAGTTTAGCTGGAAAGTGATCCTCAGTTTAGCAGTGTTTGCTTACTTATTAAAAATCTTCAGATAAACATTTTATTTGATTTCTCTAATATTTCTTCCCTTAAATAGTGTTTTTAACTGCACTAAAGCAGCTCTATTATGAAAAGGGAATGTTTAATACCCTAGGAACTTTGTTATATTAAAAAGAAAACCTTGTTTTCTACATGCAGATTTAAAAATGTATTTCATATAATAAAAGCACGTTTAAGGTTTATATAAAGTAGCCATTATACCCCTATTTTTACCTTTAAGTTTACATTTACCATAACACAATACATTAATGCCTACCTGTAGCTTGCAAAGAGATCAATTTCTTTCTCTGTCCTTTTGAAGCAGAATGATATGTGTATTTTATATGGCTTATCTTGCATGTATTGACAGACACTACTGGAATACTACAAGGAAGCACAATAGCTTCCTTTTCTTCCAAGATAACTTTATAAATATGTGAGAGATGTATAAATGCATGCCTTAATCAGTAAAATACATTTATGCTTTTTTCAGAAGCTTCTGTTATGTTTGTGGTCTGTGTAGTAATTTAAAGGAAAAAATGCTTTGTCAAAGGGAGCTTCCAGCTTCTCAAGTAGAATTATAGGTTTGCATTTTTTTTTGTTCTGTCATGACTCATTATTTTTGACATATTTTAAAATAAATCTATCTCCTTTATCATTACCTACCCAAAAGGAATCCTAATATCAGAAAGCAGCTTTCTCTTAAAGGAGGGCATAAATATACTACCTTCCATTTTACTATTTCTATAATTTGCATATATTACTTAAAATGCAAATGTAATAGTTGATGAAGTGTCCCAATGCTATCTTTATGTTGTTTTTACATTATCGTCTGTATAGGTCATACTGAAAAGAGATGATTGATCATTACTCCTTACAATCTGAAAGTATACGAACAAACAACATTTATAAATGATCTGAAAATGTCCTATATACAATATTAGCAATATTGGCATAAAGCCAATAGAATTTAAATAGACAAGTGAACTATCTAACAACACTTTTTTTTTATTTATTACTCTTTAAAGTCACAGTTTCCCCAGAGCCTTTGTATGAGTTAGTCACTCTAAACATTTAAATAGGAGCGCATTACCAACACTGCACACCAAGCACTAAGTGAAGTTTACATGAGTCAATGTCACCAAATTAATTAGTTATACTTTCTGTGAATGGCAACAACTCATTATTATTTTAAGGAATTTCAATAAACAGTTTTATATTGGCATTTTTGTGCAAATTGCCTAAATCAAATATGTTTGAGATATCAAAAGAGGGGTATATTTTCAAGACTATGTGAATGGTATATATTTTATATTGAAGTAATTAATTCAAGTAGTATTCCATGAATAATAGACTCAAATTCCTGTTAAAAAAAATCACAAGTACATCATTCCTGCCCACTAGGAGCTTACTTCCTGAGTAAAATAAAATTGTGGACAATACAAATACATTTATTTTTAGCAAATCCTTTTCAATACATGGAGTTGTAGTGTACTATTTACTATTTACATTTTTCTTTCCCTTATTCACTATGGAATAGTTGCACTATTTTTTCTTCTAAGCTATGTTTTAAAACCCAGATTTATGTTCTCTGAAATGAATATCCCATTTGAGATCATTGTTGTTCTCCAATTATGGGTGTCAAGTAGGAAGGCCTTTATACTAGCTCATCTCAATTGTAATTTGTATTCAACTATTGGTCTCTTCCCTTTCTTTTAGAAGTAGAAGTTTTCTCACTAATCTCTTAGTTTTTATACAGATAATTGTAGCATATATTCTATCACTGACTAATCCATTTCAAAGAATAATAGAGAATGTGAATTAAGACATTCTTGAGCCATTTTTAACTACTTGTAATCACCTTTTGAGGCTCAGTGAACCACTTCTTACAATTTAAACATAGCCAGATCTTTGAAATTAAGAAGGCAAATTCAAGCCTAAGGTTCCTACGTGAAATGATGGACAAATTTTAATGCTTATATTGCCAAAAATAAACTCACCAAACTTTATAATAAAGTGTAGATAGTTGCATGAACTCAGTCTATTTGAGGTCTTAGTATCTTTCAGATAGATTCCAAATAAAAAGTTTAAGAACATGGACTTACATAAATCCATATTCTCTCTATATTTGTCAAATTATTCTTTTCAAATATTTATTTTCAGCCTACCCCTCTTGTATTCCCATGGAAGGAGCTGAGTATATTTAATATTAGGAGCACATCCAGAAGCCTTTGAGGAGGGGGATGGCTCTTCATATTCATGAAGCTTGCATACTTCTGTTGGTCATCCTTGGATTAGTCACTTCTGCTGCCATCAGTCATGAAGACTATCCTGCTGACGAAGGTGACCAGACCTCCAGTAATGACAATCTGATCTTTGATGACTATCGAGGGAAAGGGTGTGTGGATGACAGCGGCTTTGTATACAAGTTGGGAGAACGATTTTTCCCAGGGCATTCCAACTGTCCATGTGTCTGTGCTCTGGATGGACCTGTTTGTGATCAGCCAGAATGCCCTAAAATTCACCCAAAGTGTACTAAAGTGGAACACAATGGATGCTGTCCTGAGTGCAAAGAAGTGAAAAACTTTTGTGAATATCATGGGAAAAATTACAAAATCTTGGAGGAATTTAAGGTATGAGTTACCCTCCATATTTATTGAGTACTAACTTTTCATACCACATACTTAGTAGATTACTACATTAAAGTTGGAAGAAATTATTTTTAAATCTCCCTTTAATTTACAATATGATTCCAGTTAGCCTAAGTACCACTGTGGTCAGCAAATAACCAAATGGTTTGTTGATCAATATATAAGTTTTCACAATAATAACCTCTTCCTACAGAAGTATGGAGTATGCTTAATAGCATTTTTTGCCCTTAATCACTTCTTCTCTATTATTACAAAGTATGTTTCCTGAGGGAAATCATTTTGTTTGTATACTATGTGTTTAATGTTTAAATTTTATAAAGTTGTGTGTGTGTGTGTGTGCGCGCGTGTGTTGCTTGCGCACATGTGTGTGGTCTATTTGCCTGTTCTTGGAGCCATTTAACTATAGTCTAGAATTATATTTAGTGTGTGGAAATGCAAGTGCAAGTGAGATGCACTTCTGAGCTATGGTCTTTATGTTATGAATATGCATTAGGACTACTTGTTGTAGAGTACCATCCGCATTGTGTTCTCTGCTCATTAGAGTTTTTGCTTGCAGGACCCCAAAGAGAACTGAATTTTAGTCCCTGTCAAAGGTAGTAAAAAAAAGACCATTTTTCAAGCCTCCATAGTATTTCACAGTCTTTATTTTATGCTTGTGTCATATTTTTAAGTAATTTGGAATTCATTTTTATCTCACTTTGAGTCTCTTTTCTCAAATGGCTAGTTTTAATTAGGATGTCCTATAAGCCAGATCTGAACCCTGAAGGTATAAATTAATATATCAAAATGTTCTCCTTAAATGTAATGGCAGTTTGTGCCTTGGAGTGTCTGTCATTCTGATGGCTTGATATGAAAGACTTTCATTTCATCTAACCAAGTTCTGTGAAAGGTGCTCAGAACCTTATAAGCAAAAGAAGATATAGCTACTTTTTAGTGTGACTGAGAGAACAATGTTCAGTTTTTAGCACTAACCCAACTTTCTTTTCTACAACAGTCAAATTCTGGAAGAAGTCAAGATGTGGATAAAAGGTTTAAACTGATCATGATCAGAGTATTCTGTGTATTGACATTTCATAGCATCCGGTCCATTCCAGGTTATGGGTTCAAGCTAGTTGTAATTTACCCAAGAATACCCAATACTTTAACTAGATTCCTTATAGCATGAGAAGAAATTTAATAATGATTACATTCAACTTTCCTATACATAAATGTTATCCTAGACTTTTCTCTTTCACAGACAATACTTTGTTGTACAATATTGAGAAGTAAAAGACTGAGAGTCTAGTAAAATCATTATTTATAACAAACAATAGTTAACAGTATAGTACATTTATTAACAGCTTTATGGTCTCTAAAATATACATCTTGACATTAACTATTACGCTTTTAGAATAATTAAACTAAATGCAAGTAGTCAACACGATTTGATTCTACACATGGTTCTAGAATTGTATCACTCTTTTCTCACATGCATACTTATTGAGAGTAGAGTGCAAGGAGGCATTGTAGAATAGCCTAACCCAAGCAAAAAAAAGTACATTGAATAAAGTTTCTGAGATTTATATAATCAACATTTTTGTCATCAACATTTAATAAATAAGTAAAGATAGATATTGACTGATTATTTGAATTTAGTCAACTCACCACTAAAGAGGCTACAGTTTTCCCTCTATTTATGAGACTTTTAAATTTACTATAAATGTAATACCTATTTTGCCATGTCAAACAATAAGAGATATATAAAGAAAAAGTTGACAATTACTTCACTCTAATTATATGTCCCTGCTATAGTCAATACACAGCCCTGATGTGCACAACTTTTCTACCTGACTCTCTATGCCCTAAGATTTTTAAATGTGATGAAAAAAAAAAAAGAATGAAAGAAAACAGTTGCCACTTTTCCACAAGGATTTAGAATTATAAGAGCTTTAGTGGTTACCTAGGGAAAGTTCATAAGAATGAAAAACTAAGTCCAAGAAAGTTTACTTGTCCAAAACTGTCAGGTTATTTAACTTACTTCTCAATACTGCCATTCTAACAACCTCTCAGAGAACTTTGGCTCAGAAGTCAGATAGATCTGGATTCAAATCCCAAATTTATCATCATGTAAGTTTTTGAGCTGCATTGGCCATAAAATGGCCATGATAATAACGTCTTTTCTTGGGAAGATATATTAGAATGAGTGAAAGAGATAATTTATGCAAAATTAGCAGCCTTGTGATGATTGGTACACAACAGATATTGACTAAATACTTGTTCTCTTCCTTCTAAACTCTAATGTCCAGGGATTTACTCTAAGTTCACAGTTCTTCTATGTCTTCACCCACATTTTACAATGAAAGTTCAACCTTAAAAGTCACTGCATTGAAAGAAATCCAATACTTTTTATAAATGTTCTACTTATCTATGTGACCTATATATATCTAAGTAAATATCAGCGATCATATCATCTTGATTCTCTTTCAATTTAGCTTGCAAGAGACAAGTAACTAATTTCAAAAGATATATGGAACTTTCACATAATTATCTTGGCATGTTATTAAGAAGGCTTAATAGGAGATATTTTTACTTATAATATATTCATCCAACAAACATTTATTAGGCTATTAGATATACAAGATACTGTAGACATACTTACATTGGAAAGTAAGATACCTATAAGGCAAAATCTCCACTCACAAGGAAGGTATGAACAATATGGAAAGAGAATGGAGGGGAAAATCAGTTTAAAATAAAGTATGTGTTCCTGAAGCTCAACGCCAAGGCACTATGCTGTCAGAAGCATATAAATATGATATGATGTTTGGTCAAAGAAACTTTCTTTTTCTTCAGCATGGTCAAAGTTGAGCCTATTCTTAAGTAATTTAAAATTGATCAAGATAGATTAAAATTCCAAAGAAGAAACTGCTTGAGCAAGATCAGAGATTAGTGTGAAATCTGCAAAGAGAGGTGGGAGATGGGAATAACAGGAAGCTGGAAATTATTAGAATGCTATTATAATAAGAGAGAGGAAAATTTGTACTTGTTTTTTGGACAGAGGAAAGAGGAACTTGAATACCAGACAAAAATATTTAGATTCAGTCTAAAGAATAACAAGGGGTAAATGCAGGTTGTTGTACATAGAGATGACCCAGTTAAAAGTGTTTTTTAAGTAAGATTACCTTGTAGCCAAGTATAGAACTGAATAGAGGTGAAGAAAAATTAATGGCTAGGGAGGTGGGGCTGTTGCAGAAAACAGAGAATGAGATGAGCAACATGCATGTGGATAAAAACATTCAGGAAAGTCTTTAAGATAAAAATCTAAATTCCTAATATAGTCTCGATTCTACTCATTGATTTCTTCAAGTATCTCAAACTCTCAGTGATTTCTCTTCCTTGGGTGCTTGCAGTGCTGTCTTATACTTTTAACCTTTACACCCCTGTGTAAGTCCTACTAGGCTATTTCACAACCCCATTTAAATCTCATCTCAACTGGAAAACCCTCTCTGACTGTTCCATGCTGCATCCCTGGCTGGGTCTCACAACGTTCCTCTATGTTCCCACAGCATGCTGCACATACCATTATAAACAGGAACAGAAATCATAGCCAGATACTATCAATACCTCTGTGTGTCTTACAACTTATTTCATTTCATAATAACACTATGATGGTTAAAATTTAATTAGCACTGTTTTACAGATAAGAAAACTGAAGCACCAAAGTGTAAGGTATCTATCTTGTCCAACATCACACAGCTATAAAGTAGAACTAGGATTCACACCCAGGCAGCTTGGCTACAGAATCTAAGCTCTTCACCACTTCTACTGCCTCAATCACACTGCAATAATAGAATATTAAACCACCTGTCTCTCCCACTAGACAGTGAACTCTTTGAGGCTAGGGGACAGGGTTTTCTTCTGTTCCCAACGCCAGCAACCATGTGGACCATTCGGTGCGTTTTTGGTTAATTGACAGAATAGGTCAGATCTTAATTAAACCCACAGAATAAAAAAGTTCAAGTTCCCTTAAAAATGCTTAGTTTCTTTTTGTTTGCATGTTGATCTCTTCATTCTAATTAAAGAAGCACTCAAAATTCAGATAAAGAGTGCTCTTTGGGTCCCTAAAGATGACACACATTGTTCATGTTCTATTTCCATCCTGCTTTATCCTCCTCCTCACTACCCCTTCCTAACCAAGGCTCATCTTGGATTCCATCTCCATGCCAGTGTTACAATGACCACCCGGTTTTTTAGTTGCTCTGTCTCACTCTATACAGTTGCAAAACGTATGTCCCTACTTAATCTTTTCTGATTACTATATTCAAATGTAAATTGATCCACATGTGTCACCTGATAAGAATAATGTTATCTATAAAGAATTTTTTTCAACATTTACTGATGCAAGCTTTGAAAATGGATTTCTCTCTACTATTTTAGAAAACTCTAAAATTTCCAGCATTCTGGTAATATTGTATTAAGATAAAGGTCACTGTGTAGTAGGTTCTCTCATCTTTCTTTTATGTATATCCAGGCAAAGTGACACTGGAACCTACTTCTTAAGACATAAGGAGTATAAATAATAAATTACAATAGCGTTTCATAAAAAATAAAAAAAAGTTGATTGGAAACACAGACTCTGTCAGCTTTGGCTCTGTGCTTAACTATGTCATGCTGAGTTTCCCAAAGGGAGAAATGATTTATTTTGCTCAGTATTTTTATAACTCCCATTCAGGAAGAATTAGCCTTTTTTGGATTTTTTTTTATTTTTTAGTACTTTAAAAACTTACACTGATTTAGTGTATATGTAGCTGCAAGAGATCTTACTTCAGCCTTTGCATAGCCAGCCTCATTTTAAAGTGATTTTCTGTAGGCAACACCCAGTGTCCCTAACTCAGGATCTGGATTTGCCCACCACATGCCTTCCTCTGTAGGCACTGGCCTCGGTGCTTCTCCCACTATGAACTGAAGGTAGTTGGTCAAGCAGCTGATTTTTATTTTTAAAG